ACAAGTGCACACTTTTTTTCAAAACCTTCACTAATTACATGACAATGCCACAGATCGTTCAACTTCAGGAGAGAAACTTTGTTAAAGAACACCGTTCGCCGAACATTCGCCGAACATTCACCGAGTATCAGTCAGACAAAGTCGACGACGTTTCCGGTTTCCGACTCTCCCTTTCGGAAATCATATCTATACAGCAAATAAACTCTTTCGTGAAAATAAGATGAAAACAACCCTTGAATTGTGAAGCAAATATTCCGCTTTGCGGTCAAGTAATGATAAAAATACTTTGAAGTTTTGAAATTTCCTGTTTTTATTTGAAGATGAACAAACCGGTTTTGTGTAGCTTCTGTTGATTCCCCCGCAAAATGTTTGCGAATCGTGCACACACGCTTGAAATGTTGTGACGTCTGGCCTATAAAGCTGAACCAAATGTAATCGAGTCGCTTAAAATATTCCGACTGTATGTACTAGGAATGGAGGTGCAAGCAGAATTAACTTTGTGAATATTGGTAAGAGGAATACACGATATAGAGAGTTTTATTTGCTTAATTTTTTTGTCTTATAATTAGGGGGCATTGTATAATAATGTTAGTGCTTACTTAGTAACACCGACCGGCAGAAGTTGCAAAAAGTTTCTCAAGTTTTCTGGGTTTTTTTGATGCATGCTCAAGGAGTCCTAAGAAAGATCTTCATTTTCATCTCGTTGGTATGCCTAGACAGTAGTAAGTAATTTCGTAAGTATTTTCTGTTACTTGTAGCAGCCAATGTCAGTGGGTTTACATACAGGTACATTTGTATTCTTGCTCAGTTGCAGGCAGAGTTCAAATTGTTTCCAGGTTTGAAATTACCCAACACGTGTTTATTGATTTGCCTTGTGAAATAATCTCACTGGCTACGCTTATGAAAAATTAATGCTGATTTCAGTTTCGTTAACATTTTTTATCGACGTGGGCTTAGTATTTTCTCAGCTATCTTTGATTTTATTTCAAACATTCAAACTACAACCGGCATAAGTGATTGTCAGAAAAGATCGAGCACTACTATCTCTGTTACGTTTTAGTCTCTTCTGTTGACCAGGTTTAGTTCTTCTTCCTCACGCATATATCTTTCAGGTTTTGGCAAATGAGTTATTACATCTCCACTGTAATTCTGGTAGGTTCTCTATGAAGCTTCATTGTTTGTGCGACAAGTTATTCCTCGCAGTTCAACATTCGTCTGCCTAATTCCAGAGTTATTTTTGCCGATAATCATATCAATAGATTATTTATCTCTGCTTGCTCCAAAAAGATAATGATTGCTAAACCTTGTCAGTCAAATGAAGTTGATTATTTCTATGAGTGATTTCCGTGATTCTTTGTGGAAACTATGCATTTTACCATACAGCGTTGGGAAATGTCAAACATTGTCGTCAATGTTTACTTTATTTTACGTCAACCAGACAATTGGGCTTTGAATAAAACAAAAGGAACCGGTTACAGCGGCTTTGTTGGACCGAAGAAAGCCTTCTCAGTTCGATTTTTTTATGATTCAAGTACTGATAAAGCTAAGCGTCGGAAAAATCGTGAAAATATTTCCGCCCAGCGCGTAGGATGTACGGAAAACGGGTCAGTTACTACGCGATCTCTGGAGCTTTTTGCTTTTTTATTTAACGCAAGAAAAAGCCTAGATTACTGAAACCAACTCGAAGCTAAAAAAATTTGAAAACATATCTAATAAACTACGAAAATATTTGTTGAATATTGGCCTGAATTTTAAATGCCTCGAGATTAATTAATGAGAAAGGCTGCAACAAAAAAAAAGTGTTCTATTTTTGGTTTCTAAGAGTTTCCTGTAAACAAGCCACGATGAACAATATTTTGCCGCGTGATTGACTGCACACATTCCACTGTTACTTTCTCTGAATCATTAACTTACAGAAATGAATAAATTCTTATTTCTCCTAACGCCACTTATGCATTGACAAGCACATAGGTGGCGAGAACAAAGAAATTCGTCAGCTAGCTGCTATTTTGACGTCTCATCGAATTTGCACCATCAACATCTTTGTATTAAACATTACTCTGCACCCTACGAGCAGAGCCTCTTTTATTTCTCTTTTGAGCGGAGAGGATACGGTACAAAGCATATGTACCGTAAGAAAAGGCTCTGCTTGCAGGGTGATTGCCCTGTTGCAGTTGTCTAGCATTTAATTTTACTTTATTTTATTTCTTCTTAGTTGGAACTAAATAAGCTTCAAACATGCCTTGGTACGATGAAGATGAAGCCGAAAAACTAGAACTGGAATCAACTCAGGAACAAGTCATCAGTCAGCCGCATGTAGACATACGTGATAAGGACCCTTATTCGTGCACCCTGCAAATTAAGCTCCCTCGCGAGGAGGTGTCGCGATTGAAGTCACTCTATAGTCCCTTACTACAATGGATCGATCCTGCCTTCCAGTTGCTTCAAATTCATCAACAAGATAAAAGCCCCTTTAATTTCTGTCATGAACTAGATGACCCGGAACAGAATGTTCAAGAAACTTACAACAAGGACCACTTGAGCACACAGTCGCTTAGCATCGTGTTGTTCTTACACGAAGACTTAAAGTATCAGCTGAACGCAAGATTTGCAAAGCGCTACTTAGAGTCACCCCCTTGGGACTTTCACCACAAGATCGAGCTGGCTAGCCGCACGGACATGCGCCCTGTGGCTCGCCAAGATTATTACGAGTCGTCTCCAGACCTCCCACTGTGGACTGTCTGCTCGGTTCATTACGGCAACGAGCAGCTCAGATTTAACATTTTCGTAAAGAATTTCGACAAAATGAAACAATTCTACAGCGTGTTAATAGGGGCTGAGACAAGCGCAAATAAACCGGGATTCTGCACTTTTGATCTCTATTCTCAGCCCGGTCTAGAAATAAAACTATCTTTGAAATACTCGCCATGTTTACGACCTCGCCCTTCTAAGCTCAGCGTTCTAAAGTTTCACGTCAGCGATATCCTTTCCGTGGAGCGGAAACTTCGACTTACGTTGACTCCAAACGGCGATAACACGTGGTTGGCACGTGATCCCGATGGTAACGTGATCATCCTATCACGTGATGACACTGAGTGGTGCGACGTGGGTGTCGAGGGACACTCGGTAGAAGTGTCGGACAGTGGACAGTGGAGCGAGACAGACAGTGACGATGGCTCGTGGGAAATGTGTAGTGTAACAAGTTTTACAAGCTGCAGTGAAGCGGATTTCTCGTGCGAGAGTGACTGTGACTGTATCTCGGCATAGACAAAGTTAATCCGTCAGATATGACTGTTAGCCATGTACAAGTAGACACAGTAACTTGAGTCAAGAGAACAAATAACAGTCCGTTTTATTCGTATGGAGTAAACATGTGAGTAAAACTAAGTTTCATGAGAAACGTTTTGGACCGGGACTAGCTTTGAGGGAGCTTTGAGACAAAAGCGGAGGAAGCTCGTAAATGACTAAAGAATTGCTAAACGTGAAAGTCGGATCTAAAGACTAGAAGGAACTGTAACTTGAAGATCCCGTTTAACTTCCAGCTATCGTGTATTTTGATCGATTCTATAGTTTTCTCGTAGAATTTGAGCCTGTCCAAATAATCATGACGGGCTAGAAGAGTTTTAGCTGAATGGAAAAACAGACAACTGGTGTCAATTCCAGTTTAAGATTTCAGCTCGTTTGACAGTTGACAGTTAAGGTCAGTTGAAGAAATTTCAACCAATTCATCCCTCAACTTTCGTCAACTCAGAATTGCTCCATGTGATCCGGGACTTCAAAATCGAAACAGCGGAAGGACAAGAGAAAAGTTCGGCTACTTCTACTTAGCAACTTGATGCCAGGACACCAACTGTTTGAAAAGGGAAAGGTTGCGTTCTTTTATTTAAAAGGGGGCATTGCTAGTCCAAAGATGCAATAAATTTAGGACTGAAAAGTTCCATCTGGATTGAGTTCTGTTATTCTTAATGCTTACGCCACTCCTTAGTTTAACTCTTTTTGCAGCAGTTAGCCAGAAATGCTGACTTTGCGTCCTTTCTTTTCCAAAGGCAGCAGCTTGAATAATTACCCGAAATGGAATTAGCTCGACTGTAACAATTCAGACCGTTATCTGAGGGGGACATTTTTTGGGAGTTTTAAATATTCAAAAACGTAAAATAGGGAGCAGTTAAGTCCCCTCTCGTGAGCTCACATTTGGGAAATACACATACGAGTGGCGAAGCCGTGACTAAAGTGAGGCTCACTTTCTTGGCGACCCTTCACCAGACTCCTTCAGCCAGATCGGTTCGCTCTCGGACTCGCGCATGTGACTCAAAGATGAGCCTAGCTGGCCTGCTCGCAGGCTGTATATCCCTCTTGCGGATTTGCAGTTCGCGTAGGAGTGGAAAAAGTAATAGGACTTGTAGGTAGCGATTGTCGCGTAAGAAATGACAACAGTAGACACAGGTAAATTGTATGTTCTTTTCATTCCTTTATAACTCTCTTCCTACTCAACAAGATTGTGTGGCCCTGTGCACTAACGAAAGAAATGGAAAGGACTATGTACTGGCGCGCCAAATCTCATCAGCAACCCAGTCTAGGTCAGGAGGGACCTCTCCAGGGAAACTTTGCCTTCTCCCCTTCTCTCACTTTTCGAACAATCCAACTTCCATAAAAACCTTAAAAGATTATAACCATGACAGTCGCCTTAAAAATACCACCCCACACCATACCCCTCCGGCTAGTTTTGTTCTGCGAGCCCGCAGACCGGTGGCCGTGGAGACTGGTACACAACAACTTGTAAACTTCCAAAAATAGCTTCCAGCTCTTCTCGCTCGAGCATCGGTTGGAAGTAAGAATCGAGAGGAAAAAGTTACATGTGAAGGCAAACAGGCTGTGCTAAAACAATATGGCAGGTTGGATAAATCTTCCTTTGAAACGGTCCGATGGTGTTGATTTTAAAAAGCCGCTGGAGAAGTTTATCAAGAACACTTTTTCCGCTGAAGCTGTGTCAGAAAATGAAGACGCCATTTCTGAACTGGCGAAGTTAAGAAATACTGCTGTGATGCAGACCTTAGACAAACATGAATCTGCATTAGAGCCTATGTTAAGGTGAGAACGATAATTATTTTAATTCCAACACAGTACGTTTCTGTCCTGTAAGAAATATCAAATTCTACAATCTCAAGCTTGACAACTGTAAACTTGTAAATTTGTTTCATTTGGTTGGCACTTAGAACCTCAAATTAGATTATGAATGAGGTCATGATAAAAATACCTGTATCCAGATGTACCTGATGTTATAATGGATACGATCCAGCTACAGACCATTGTTTCCGTAATAACTCGTTTCGTTTGAGGCTGTAATCGGTAATATGAAAGGTGCTGCCGTTTAATATCGCAATGTTAATTATGGTTTTCATATGTCGACGATTTTTAAAAAATATTTAAGTCTAATATGTAGGAAGAGGTTTATAAACTGATTCCTTACAATTTGGCTTTTTTGCTTAAAAAAATATATGATTGAAACGAATATAGAAGGACTGCGTGTGTATTAGAATTAATCTTTATTTATTGTTCAAATGTACAAGTCTATTTCTTAACATGAATAACGTCACTAATAAATGTCACAAATATGATGTCACGGCTGTAAATTACCCGATTCAAGTTGCTTATATCAAGCTCAGGGTAAAAACTTATATTGTGTATTGGAAATTACAGAGCATCACTTTTACGATGCAGCACAAATTAAATTCTCTGAACTGTGTTAAAATGTATGGTAATAAGTGAAGAGAATTCAGTTATAACTTAACTGGCTAAAGTAAGCTAAGTTATATACAGTAGGTGCGTGTATTTAATACTCAGAGTTAATATTGTGTACTTAATTGAAAGGGTTAAATCAGAGGTAAAGTGGTAATTTTGTCTTTGCATGTTGTAGTATCTGTTTAGATCAGAAGGCAGATTGCCATCAACACATAATATTAATTTGTCAGGTTATCCTGGCTAGCAATTAG